ATCTGCCTTTATTTCCATCCATCATTCATTCCACATTCATTTATTTTCCATGTGTCTCATGTATTGCAATTTGGAATAAGAGTTTATGAAATGAGTGGATCACTGCTTAAATATTGATTCAAGGAGCAAGAATATGAGATTGGCATTTTGCATTTAATATGCAATCTGTTATCCAAAAGGATTCTGTGAGTCACCGATATTTGGCCATTTCGTTTTCTTATTTATTTAATTCACATAGAGGCTGTGGTTTCTGGAATCCACCAGGCATAGAGTTAGCAGTAACATGGATAGTGTTATGCAGATGCCAAATTTAAAACCCATTCTGCAGAGAAATGAACTGGTTTCAAATGGAAAGCACATCTGCTTTGCAGTATCCATGGTAAATTTCACTTTCAATCAATTTTAATATACCTAATCATGAAAATTAACTTCAAAGTACTGATATGGAGGAACTGCAATTGAAATGATATTTTTTTGGTCTCGGAGACTTTTTAAATGATCTTCACTGAATCATGAAGCTCTAGATCACTGACAATACACATTACTCTCTTCCCAGACAACTAGGGAGATTGATGTGCCAACCTTTAGCTCATACATTAACTGACCCAACTGTCTTCTTGAACATTGTAATGTAACTCAGAGCACTTTATTTCCCCTTCATCATGCACCATGTACTGTAGTTATTTATTATCTCCCATTACCCGTATCTGCACCCTCTGGCACATGCTCAGATGAATTATGCCTAAGATTAGTAAGTAGCACCCTTTATTTTTCCACTGAGACCAAAGCTTATTGTTGTGAAGATTAACATGCCACTTCTCTGATATTGCCCACCCTTTTAGACTTTTTCTTATCTCAACATTTAATTAAAAGAATGTTCAAATATACAATAAAGTTGAAATAATATTCCAGTGAATGTTTGTATAACCATTTATTAGCTTTCTCTTGCTGGCTAACACATTACTTAAGTTAGTTTAAAACACACACACAAATTTGTGTGATAGTTTCCATAAGTTGGAAGTCCTGGCCCAATATGACTGAATTCTCTACTCAGGGACTCACTCGGCTGAAATTAAGGCATGGGCCAGGGCTGTGATTCTCATCTGGGGCTCAGAGTCCTCTTACATGCAGACTGGTTGTTGTCAAAATTCATTTGTTTGTAGATGTAGGATCACTGTCCTTGTTTACCTGCTAGCTGCTGGCTGGGGTCAACTCCTGAATCCACCTGCCGTTCCTTGATATGTGACGTTCAATGTAGGCAGTTCACAACATGAGTGCTTGTTTTCTTCCAGAACACCTGCTCTTGCATCTCTCCGACTTCCTTTTCTTTGGCCAGCTGGAGAAAATGCTCTGCTTTTAAAGGGCTCAAGTGATTAGGTGATCCAACCAGGATAATCTCCCTTCTGGTCATATAATAAAACATAATCATGAGTGTGATGTCTCATAGGGTCTACCTACGATCAAAGTACAAGGGCTTAGTCAAAGGTGGGACTTGTTGGAGGTCAGCTTCAAATTCTGCCTAGTACAACCTACCACCTGTATTCTGTCATTAACATTTTTTGTTTTTTGAAGTATAATTAGATGTACAATAAAATTCACCCTTACCTCTTAGATTATAAAGCTTGCATTTTAAATTAAATTTTTGCATTTTTAAATAATCATTTGGTCAGTTTTCCCAATTATAATGTTGGTATAATGGTCAAATAAGTGATTCTCCTAATGGAAAATTATACAAGTCTGTTTGTAGAAGTTTCTGTAGAATTGCTATTTTTTTTAAAAAACAGTTAAAATTGTCTCAATCACTTGAAGTTTGCCATTTGACTAGACTAGAACCAGGCTAAAAATGTCTACATGTCAGACAACCACAGTTTAATGCAGGCCTAGGGGTTTTTGTTTTTTTATTAATCTCAGCAAAATTTTTGAAATTATGAATAAGAAGCTAGCATGTGTATATGTTTTTAATGCAGGTTACTCTGCCCAAGAAGATTGGTACTTAGTATATATTCATGTGATGATATACAGGAGCTGATATTGAAATAGTAATGATAAAGTTGCACTGATTTTAATGGTATGCATTTAAATATAAATGAGAATAGTGGTCCAAATAAATCACATCATATTTTGAACAGTTATTATAAATTAGGGTCACCTTGCAAAAAGTAATAAAGAAGACCCGTTGGATGTGATATTACTGAGGGCCAACACAAATGAGTATAGCTCTAAAAAAAAAGGTGGTGATACATATCATAGTCTTTCTTTAACAAACTGCTAAATAAAATTAGAAAGAATAAAATGAATGCATCAACAGCAAAATGGTGTGCAGTGACTTATGAAAAACAATGTATTCTTCTCCATATATCTAATCTTGTCAGTTACAGCACATGTGAAAGGTGAGCTACAATGGTGCCCAAACCCAATATTTCCCATGATGAGATCTTTCCAGTTTCAGGGTTAGATCTTATTTCATTTTCCACTTTTTATATACTCTTGTCATTTCTTTAAAACAACTGAGTGTTTACAAAATCCGGTTACTTACTATATATAAAATAGATAAGCAGCAAGTTTCTACTGTATGGCACAGGGAACTGTATTCAATATCTTGTAGTAACCTCTAATGAAAAAGAATATGAAAAGGTATATATGTATGTGTGTGTATGACTGAAACATTATACTGTATACCAGAAATTGACACATTGTAACTGACTATACTTCAATTAAAAAAATCAGTTACTAAGAACTAAAATTTGTTATTAGTAAAAAAATTAGTCATGCCTCTAAGTAGAAGTCTGTTACACCAGAGAAAATGTTTATAGCAAAAATATTTTATCCAAGACATGGCAACTTATTGACTCCTAAAATTCCTGCTTTTCCTTGGTTAATCTCTTTTAAACTGAAGTAAGCTTTGCTTTTGAAATTGTAATTTTTCTTGAGATAATTCTAGATTTAAATTAAGTAATAATAAAGGGAGATCCTCTGTATCCTTTATCTGTTTTCTCTTAATGGTAACGTATTGCAACACTCTAACATAGTATTCAAACCAGGATATTGACATAGATACAATCTACCAGCCTCATTCAGATTTTCTTTGATTTACATATGCTCATTTGTGTTTGTGTGTATGTGTATGTGTAGTTCTGTAGAACCTTATCACATGCATATGTTCATGTCTCCACTGACATGGTCAGGAAATTGAACAGTTTTACCACCAAAACATTTTGTCGTGTTGCCTTTTTATAAGCATACTCATCCCTCTCACAGCACTCCTCATGCTTAATCTCTGGCAACCACTAATCTGTTCTCAGTTTTTATAATTTTGTGATTTTAAGAATGTATATAGATAGACTGGGATTTCAAAATTGTAGAATAGATAAACAAGATTACACTGTATAGCACAGGGAAATATACACAAAATGTTATGATAAATCACAGAGAAAAAAATGTGACAATGAGTGTGTATATGTCCATGAATGACTGAAAAATTGTGCTGAACACTGGAATTTGACACAACATTGTAAAATGATTATAAATCAATAAAAAATGTTAAAAAAAAAAGAATGTATATAAATGAAGTCAGTTTGTAAATTTGGGGTTGATTTTTTTCACTCAGCATAATTTCCTGGATGTTCACCCAAGTTGTTACATGGGTGAATTGTTCATTCATTTTTATTGCTGAGTCGTATTCCATGGTGTGGATATACCATAGTTTGTCTAACCATTCACCTGTTGATGGGCATCTGGGCTGTTTCTAATATGGAGCTATTATGAATTAAGCAGCAGTGAACATCAGTGTTTGAGTTCTGGTGTGGATATAAGTTTTAATTTCTCTGAGATAAATGTCCAAAAGTGTAATTGCTGGGTCACATGTCTAGTTTTATAAGAAACTGTCCAGTTGTTTTCCACAGTGTCTATACCATTTTTATTCTCATCAGCAATGAATGAGTAATCCATTTTCTTTGCAATCTCTCCAGTGTTTGGTGTTATTACTATTTTTTTTAAATTTTAGCCATTCTGATAGATATATAATGTGGTCTCATTGTGGTTTAAATTTATATTTCTCTGATGGCTAATTGTTATGATGTGAATGCTTGTGCCACACACCTCCTCATTCATATGCTGAAATCCTAACCCTCAGGGTGATGGTATTAGGAGGTGAGGCCTTTGGAAGGTAATTAGGTCAGGAGGCCAGAGTCCTCATGAATGGAATTAGTGTCCTTATAAAAAAAGAGCCAGAGAAAGCTCCCTTGCCCTTTCACCACATGAGAACACAGCAAGCGGTCACCTTCTATAGACCAGGAGGTAGCCCTTCACCAGACATCAAATCAGCCAAATTGTGGACTTCTCAGCCTCCAGAGCTATGAGAAATAAATATTTATTTATAAGCAGCCCAGTTTATGGTCTTTATTTATTGCAGCCCAAGCAAACTAAGATACTAATGATGTTGGACATCCTCTCATTTGCCATCTGTATATCCTCTTCAAGGAAATGGCTGTTCATATCTTTTGTTCATGTTCCAAATGGATTGCTTGAGCTTTTTGTTCCACTATTGCACTTTGAAAGCTCTTTACATACTACAGATATGATTCTTTTGTCAGATACATGAATTGCAAATATATTTTCCCACACTGTAGCTTGTATTTTCATCCCCTTCATAGGGTCTTGCAAAGCAAATATTTTTAATTTTTATGAAACCTAATTAATCAATTTTACCTTTAGGGATTGTGCCTTTGGTGTCAAGTCTAAGAGCACTTTACCTAGCCTTAAATCTTGATAATTCTCTTTTATATTTTTTCTATAAGTTTTATAATTTTGTATCTTACATTTAAGTTCATGATCTATTTTTTTAATTTTACAATTCATTTAATGGCAACTGGTAATTATCAAATTAGCAATGATTTTCTTCAAAAGTTATTGCACTAGCTGTGCTGTCATTTCTCAAGATGATCAGATACCTAGAGTCACAAACATTTCCCATATAATATGCATCATATAAATCAGACTTGGTTTATCACTAGCATTTATAAAACCAAACCTAGGGAGAGAACCAGGTCTGAGGACACATTCATGGGCTCAATATAATGATCTATTCTTATATATTATTTTTATTGAGGTATGATTGACATGTAATATTATATTAGTTTCAGGTGTACAACATAGTGATTCAACATTTGTATACATTGCAAGATGATCACCATAATAAGTCTAGTTACAGTCTATAACCATAGAAGGTTAATACAATTAATATATCTTCTTTATCCATTCATGCATTGATGGGCATTTAGTTTGTTTCCATATCTTGGTTACTGTAATAAAGCTGCAGTGAAGGGGTGCATTTATCTTTTCAAATTAGTTTTTATTTTCTTCAGATAGATATCCAGTAGTGGGATTCCTGAGTCATATGGTAGATCTATTTTTAATTTTTGGAAGAACTTCCGTATTTTCCATAGTGGCTGCACCAATTTACATTCCCACCAACAGTGCACGAAGGTTCCCTTTTCTCCACGTCCTGGCCAACACCTGTTATTTCTTGTGGCAGGTGTAAGGCGATAACTCATTGTGGTTTTGATTTGCATTTTCCTTATTAGTGATGTTAAGTATCTTTTCATATGTCTGTTGGCCATCTGTATATCTTCTTTGGAAAAAGTGTCTATTCAGATCCTTTGCCCATTTTTTTTCTAGTAAAATTAGTTGACTTTATTATATTTTTTTCATTTTTTTTCCTCCCAGGTTTTTTGAGGTATAATTGACATATAGCTCTGTCTAAGTTTAAGGTGTACAGCATAATGATTTAAGTTACATACATCATGAAATGATTATCACAAGTTTAGTGAATATCCATCATCACATACAGATACAAAATTAAAGAAATAGAAAAAGAAAAAACACCTTTTCCTTGTAATGAGAACTCAGAATTACTCTCTTAACATCTTCTGTATATAACATACAGCAGTGTTAACTGTATTTATCATGTTATACATTACATCCCTGGTACTTATTTATCTTATAACTGGAAGTTTGTACCTTTTGACTGCCTTCATCCAATTCCCCCTCCCTCCACTCCTACCTCTGGTAACCACAAATCTGACCTCTTTCTATGAGATTTGTTAGTTTGCTTTTCAAGTATAATTGACCAAAACACTATGCTAGTTCCTGGTATACAGTGTAGTTATTTGATACTTCTATACATTTCAAAATGATCACCATGATGAGGCTAGTTATGATATGTCACCATACAAACATATTATATAGTTATTAACTATATTCCCCACACTATACATTTCATATCCTTGACTCATTTGTTTTGCAACTGGAAATTTGTACCTCTTAATCGCCCTCACCTATGTCTTTCCTCTTCCCACCACCCTGCCCTCTGGCAACCACCTGTTTGTTCTCTGTATCTATTATTCTGTTTCTGTTTTGTTATGTTTGTTCATTTGTTTTGTTTTTTAGATTCCACGTGTAAGTGAAGTGATACAGTGTTGATTTTCCTCTGATTTATTTCACTTAGCATAATACCCTCTAGTTTCATCCATGTTGTCACAAATTGTAATATTTTATTCGTTTCTGTGGTTTAATAATACTCCATTGTGTGTGCATGTCTGTGTGTATCACATCTTTATCCATTCATCTATTGACGGCACATAAGCAGCTTTCATATCTTGTATATTGTAAATAATGCTGCAATGAACATAAGGATGCACATGACTTTTCTAATTAGTATTTACATTTTCTTTTGATGAATACCCAGGAGTAGAATTGCTGGGTCATACAGTAGTTATATTTTTAGTTTTTTGAGGAATCTCTATACTTCTTTCCATAATGGCTGCACCAGTTTATGTTCCCACCAACAGTACATGAAGGTTCCCTTTTCTCCACATCCTAACCAACAATTGTTATTTGTTGTGTGATAATTGCCAAATGCTTTTCCTGCACCAGTTGATAGCACTATATGATTTTCCTGCTTAGCCTGTTCATATAGTGGATTACATTGTTTCTCCAATGATGAACAAGTCCTGCATACCTGGAATGCTCTTGGTCATGGTGTGTATTTATATTTATACATTATTGAATTTGATTTCTTAGTATTTTGTTTATAGGATTTTTGCTTCTATAGTCACAAGAGAGATTCATGAGTAGTTTTTTGTTTTTGTTTTTTTTAGACTGTTTTTATCTAGTATTGGTATCAGGATAATAATAGCCTTATAAACGAAATGGGAAGCATTCTCCTCTTATTTTTCTTGGAGTATCCTTGGCATCAACCTTTTTTTTAAATGTTTGTCAGAATTCTCCAGAACTTCAGTCATACCACTGTACTTTTCAACTAGCTGAGCTTTCCCCTTTCACTTGACTATTGTTTTGATATATTCTCACTCCTAGGAAATGTACCTCCATTAAATTCTGCTTATTTTAGCTATGACCTTATTTAGAGAAACAGTGAGACAGTCCTGATCTTTTAATGTTGATGTGCTACAACTTGGAAATATGTATTTGTGCTGAACAAAAAAGTGAGTGGTAACTCACCTAAGAACAGCAGAATATTGAGATAAAACTTTTGTAGATTATCAGGCAGGGCTGCCTGAAATTGACTTTCTACCCTTTATTGAAATGAAAGAAAATAACTAAGGTTGCCCTAACAGTGGAAGAAAGAAATTTTTTGATGCCCCCCCAAGGATAAATTTGACCTTCATCTGAAATTAAGCCAGATTTTGTGAGAGCATGTCTAATGATTTACTTTTGTTCTGGCTTATTGTATCAAGCATCATTCCTGTAGCCGATTTTAAAGTTTTGCTATCTACTCGTGTAGTACTAGTCATGAAATAGTTTGCTTTCTGCTGTTCTTTGCTTGTGATGATTAATTCCTTGTCAGGTGATGAACGTGAATAAAGGGTGGCAATTCCAGTTTCTTTAATCACTGAATAATGTGGTTCCAGGGCTCAGTTGAGATTTTGGACATACAGCAAAAGGAATTATACTGAATTTTCTATTAATCACTGCATCCTTAGTGCTGACAAGGTCTCTTTCTAACAATAGATCTAATCATTTCAAGATGAGCCACAATTAGAATGAATATGATAAAGAGCTCATCATCTGGGCCAGGATTCTGATCCCATGAGCCCAAGATAGAAACCTCTGTTTCGCTACTTGATTTAACATGAAGGGCCATGCATTAAGTCTTATGGCTCTGGAGATTTATAAATGTTTAAAGCCCTTAATAAACTTAGCTTTTTAGTTTTGGACCATAGTCACTAGCTGAATAAAATGTTTGATTTTTTTTTAAGTGGGACTTTTATTTTATATGCTTCAGGCAAACTAGATCAGTATTATAAAGTTCTCTCTATAATTCATTTTCATGAGGTAATGATTCACTTGGGATCCCAAAGCAAAAGTTTTCCCTCTCACAGTCTTTTACTACTACTCAAGGCACTTTTGTATATATCCGCAATTAATTAATTGATCATCTCTAAGTATTCTTAACTAGCTGACTTTGTCAGTGGCTTGGTAGATTCTTCCTGGTTTGTTAGAGTGCTCTCAAGGTTTCACACAGCACATAGTTAAAATAATGATGATGCTAATGATGATAAGGATAAATAGACAGTAGAGGGTTGAGAGCTTACCATACAACCATGTTAAGTACTTTACTGCATTAACTCAATTAACTTTCATAAACACCCTATTAGATAGCTGCTGTCTTCATCATTGGTGTTTTCCAGACAGACTCAAAAACACCAAATGAAGTAATTAAGCAACTGGCCCAAGGTCAAACAGTTAATAAGTGGTAGACCTGGGTTCTGAGGCAGGTAGCCTACTTCCAGAGCCCACGATCTTAAGTACCATGACTGTCCCAAAGCATATGCTCAATAAATATTTGTTGACTGATAAAATTCTAGAGTTAAAGCTCCCAAAGAATGACAGCTCTCTCATTCTTCCAAAAATGCTAACGATAAATAACCAATAATAAAAATAAAAATGTCCTGAATACAGAGCTCTGCTGAGAATAAGCTCCGTTGGAGAGATAGATGGAACCATTCGTTGTTTTATGTGGAATTGGAAGCTGAAAAGAACAATGTTGATGTGGTAAATTGGAAAAAAAAAGTAAAAATCTACATGATAGATTCACAAAGCAATAAAAAATGTACAAGCTTCAAATATTTTAGATACTTTAAGAGCTAAATACTGGGAAGACGCCTGAGGCGGATGAACCTCTAGGGGAATGAAATACTTTTTTAAATAAAGCTCAGACCCTATCTTATGCAGTTTTAATGTAAGTCTTTGATAATTCAAGACTTCATGGATCACTCAGGAGGAGTGCTTTTATTTCTGTATTATAGAAATCTGGCAGCATCACAGACACCAGAGTTTAGCTGTGGTAAATATTAAGTTGCACCTTTAATTAATGTTCACTTTATATCTGTGCTAAAGCTATAGCTAAATGATTAGAAATTATTCTCTGGGAAATAAAATTATTCAAAGGTACCTCTGTTACTAAAGAAAAAGCTGCCAAACTATTTTGAGACCACAAGGATTGTAATTATCTATGTTCTTATCTCCATGCCCTTATGAACACTCTAATCTCTGTAAGGGTAAAGATGATTATTTTGTTCTTGGCAATCACTGTGTCCTTAGTAGCTAGCCTGGAGAATGAGTGAATGAATGAATACGTTGAAAATGATATAGGAAACAAAAATTCATTCTAGGCTGTATTTTCCCAGCATTGTCACACTGGGTAAGCCGTTTTACCCAAAAGAGGAGGTAGATTGTGAATCCTTGGTCTTTTCTCTGCAAATAAGGTGCTCTCTCTTTTTTATTTTTTTTTAACATTTTTTTTATTGAGTTATAGTCATTTTACAATGTTGTGTCAAATTCCAGTGTAGAGCACAATTTTTCAGTTAATCATACATATATTCATTGTCACATTTTTTTTTGCTGTGAGCTATCACAAGATCTTGTATATGTTTCCCTGTGCTATACAGTATAATCTTGTTTATCTATTCTGTATATGCCTGTCAGTATCTACAAATTTTGAACTCACAGTCTGTCCCTTCCCACCCCCACCTCCTTGGCAACCACAAGTTTCTATTCTATGTCTATGAGT